ATATTTGCATGTATGTCTATATGTAGCTATGTGTATATATGTATATACACAGATATGTATAGATGTAGAGATGTGTAGATGCGCTGCCAGGTTGGGAACCCAGCCCCGGCCCCCGGGTCTCCACCCCGCAGCCAGGAAAGAAGAGAAGCCAGGCACCCCCCAAAAAAAAAGGCAAAAAAATACAGGCCAAAAAAAATCTCCACCCCCTTCTTTTCCTCGACCTTTCTGCGACTGCTAAGGGCGCCTGAACTCGGAAGGCTAGGGTCAGAGCTAGGTGTGGGTAACCTACGGCTACGGTGCAAGCACCCCGCCCGCAAGCAAGCAGGGCGTCGGCGGCGAGACGGGTGGACTAGCACGGAGCCCGAAAGTCGGCTCTCGGGCACTGGCTCGGTGTCACGAGCATCCGCGAGCAGGTCACCGAGAGGTGGCTCCGTTCCGTCGCATTCGCCCGCTGCCGCCAAGGGCAACTCCAGCAGCGAGCAAACCAGCGCGGGTTAGGCCGCCACAGCCAGCATGCCCGTCCAATGGTGTAAAGAGGCACGCCGCACGGCCGGGCGCAGCCGCGCGGGGGACTCGCGCGCACGAGCCTTGGCCAACTGCCGCAAAAAAGCCACGGCCTCCGGGCCGAACCTGCCGCCAACTTCAATGGCGCGCACAAACAGTTTGCAACGGCGCGCGACCGCAAGCTCCGGGTATGCGTGCAGGCGTTTGCGTTTCGCCGCCTGTTCAAGCGCAGTGCCCGGGACACGATCGGCATGTGGTTGCGCGCCGCCCGCCCGCGTAACGGGCGAGACCAAGGTGGTGTCGACGGCCGCCTTCCAAGTTCTTCCACGCCGAAAACGACCAGTCGGCAGTGCCGAGCTTGCTGCAGTTCCGGGTAAGCTCGATGATTGCGGTCGACTGCCTGGTCTAGGGCGAGGCCCGGTTGTTGGTCAGCCTGTGGTCGGGGCATTCCATGGCGACGCCTCCTGCGTTACCCATCATGTTTGACCGTTGTTTCAATCGTGGACAACGGGGCAGATCACAGAGTTGTCGACCTCACAACAACGGGCAAACGCTTCAGACGCTCTCAGAGCTTCTTGAAAATGATTGTGCACGTGGAGTTCGTGATCAGGCGGCAGTCCAAGACCCCACATGCACCCCGATGCAGCGTCAGAGCTTGCTGCAGCATCGCCTCATACATAGGCCATCCAAGATTGCAATCTCAAATGTTGCACTTGAGCACAATGCTACGAGGTCATGCAATTCATTCATGAGCATCTGCAAATTCCAATGATTTGCGGGACGCCAATCCGTCGCTGGTGGACCCTCCTCATGCCCCCCCCCACTCAAGGCGCCGCCACCGCCTCCACCGCGGGAGTTCGAGACCAGCTGTTCGGTTTGCAGGTATGTTTACCTGCCCCACCGTCACGAAATCGACCAGACGAAATGCGTATGTCACAGCGTACAAGCAAATGGTGTCGCTGTGGTAACCCTGCCCCCCGTCACTGCATCAAGTCGCTGCTTGGCTGGTTGTGCTAATTACTGTTGATTGCTGTTGTCATGCGACTTGTGCCTCGGGTCTCCCGTCGAGAGCCCTTCCACCTCCACCATCGCCCACCAAACAGGCGTTGTTCGTCTGATTGTTAGCCAGGTCAGACAAATCGGCCAATGTTGCATCGCCGTCCATGTCAACCTGCACGGGAGGATACGGGAGGTGTCCCGCACGACGGCAACGCGTGGCCACAAACCATCATTCCGACGCGACAGCTGTGGCGGAACTAGATTCGTCATGGGGGCATACATGCCAGCAGATATCAGTATCCAGCTTTGGCAGGGCGACAGGGAAGATATCAGTATATATCAGTATGATGGGTGACACTTGGGATATGTGTGCGGAGAAACGATTGCATCGAAGAATCTCAATCGACTCTGGATTGCAATGTACTTGCGCAGCTGAAAAGCGGAATGTTGGCCGTGTATGGCGGGTGGCTTGGATCAAGACTTCCGCGATCGGAGCCCGTGACACTTTTGTTTTACCTCAGCAAGACACCAACGTTCAGTGTAGACACTGAGCATTTGCAACACATGGCACCATTGTCATTTGGCCCTAACGCGATCTGCTCGGCTTCTGGACTGCACTCCCGAGACACAACATGGAGCAAGGCCGGCAAGAATGGAAGGCAACCGACAAGTGCTGACAAATGTTTGACTTTGGAGGCGGCAGCTGCAGCCGGTGGAGTCCTAATGTTCCAGAAGGTGCAACATGAGTTCAGTGCAGCCGAGACATGTCTGCCACTCACATAAGCGTATTGATGCCATCATCGCCCACAGAACGAAGCCGCAATTATCAGTTCGGTGAAAAAAAGTTCTTTGCAGACGTTCCGTGTCGTTGCTATATGTAGAAATGCATCCATCTCGAAGTTGCGCCACAGGAGCTTGAGCATAGGCTTCGGGATTGGATTCAAGGCTGAGCCAGGTTGTCCAGGTTTAAAGCTTATGCTGAATAGCTTCATGTTCGTGCTTGCGGCCTCTCACGCTAACCGTTCCTCGAAGCAGTGTCAGACAAAAAGACGTTGGAGCCACAGGTCGATTGCTCGTTCCCTGCCACGACCCAAACGACACGAGCTTAAATCAAATCCATCTCGAGTTTCAGGTGAACATGTCGAAGCAGGTTTTGCCATATGCCAGACTGCAACGATCATGTGTTCGTCACTTGCTTATCTGGTCGGCTGCAAAGCCACCAAATTGAAGCTCCAACTCCCGTCCGTGCTGCAATAGTTATCCTGCTGTTCGTTGATCGGGGATGTGGAATATCTGATGCTTCATCAAATGCGTCAGCGACGGGCAATGTGTCTTGGGCAGGTGATGGTCAGGGCGCTTGCACGCCAAGCCATCGGCACACCGCCGATTCTTCAAACGAAGGGTCCCGATCTTACGTAGCCTTCATTGGTCTACAGAGAGATTTGGATGCCTAATGTCAAGTTGCATCGGCACAAAGGGAGAGCGATCGAGATGCGATCGTTCGGAGCTCCAGACAAGTCATGCATGTTTGGATGTGAAAGCTTTCGACGGGACCAGTGCAAGGTGCATTTTCATTGGGAGCCTGGGCAACTGCTGAATCGAAGGACCGCCTGGAGCAAAAACTTTGCGGGTATCGCGTTGTCTTGCAGACATTACGTGGAGACGACCCAGGTATCGACTGCACTCTCTTGCTGGCGAAGGGACATTTGGCCGAGTATGTTCCCCAGCGAAGTATGGCACTGCGCCCACAGGAACAGTGTCATAGTGTACGGACTATCATACACTATACCATACTGTGTCATATTGTAGAGCGAGAGGGACAAATAGTTGGGTGTTTCATGATTAGTGGGGGGCCAGGCGGGGAGGGGGGCAGGGGCCAGAATGGCGGGGAATTGGCGGTCAAGGAGGGGCCAGCAGGGGCGGAAGAGGGGGTGGGGCTTGGCGGGGGGGGGGCGAGGAAAACTGTCTGGAATTGGCCAAAGTGGACTGGAACGAAGGGAAAGGACAGGTCAAGGAGGGGCCAGCCGGCGTGGGGGTCGAAAATGTGCGCAAAAACGCATGTCAGTAAATTTGTGGAGTAGTTTGGGATGCAGGGAGGAGGATTAGGCCTGTGGCCTCGGCGGATTACGCTACATGTCTATATACAGTCATACAGAGTTAGATGTTCGCACAGTGTCCAAACTCTTGTGAACATCGCGTGCTCGAGGTCTGCCTGGCCACCGACACGACGAAAAAAACCCAGGCCACCGGTTCCCTGTAGCCAGGTAAGGCTTGGGGTTTTTGAGTTGAGGTGGTGGAGGGCCTGTAGGGTTTCGGGTTTAGGTTAAGGTCCAAGGGTCTGGGGGGTTTGGGAGGTTTAATTTGGGGTTTAGGGCACACTGCCGATTGCAACTTGGATGTTTCCGTGCAGTCGTCGTCAGTGCTGAACATTCTGATTCGCGAAGGTCGCGATCAAGATCATTCGCGATGTCACGCAGCAACTTGTCATCAGACCATGGACGAAACAGCACAGACAGCAGTGCCTACACCTCGCGTCAGTGGTTCTCTCACTCATAGCTGACCCCACAGTTTCCACACAACTGCCGTGTGCCACCGGCCACTGACTTTGGTCAAGACAGACAGTTGGATATTTGCTGGGGGTGGTGCTAGAGCAGTGGTGACTCGGTGGGGAAAGCGGCCGGATACACAATGGAAAGGTGTTTGTGATGCCACAGCAAAACCCTAACAGAGCCACAAGACCTCAAACAAGCGAAAGAGTGTTGACCGAGGTTTAGAGAGGCCGCACAAGAGGAGGCAGCCATCTTGGCGACTATTTGTGCAGCTGACCCGTGGGGGCCCGCACCTTGAAACGTATCTGACAAAGGAAAGCTACATGCACGCAAAGATTCTACATTCGAGGCAATTTCGTTGCTGCCGGATGCACACTTCCTTCCTTCACGACTCCAGGTGCGACAAGAATCGCCCCTTTCTTTAAACATGCAAAGCCGTCCTTTCGAAAGTGGTGGACAGCAACAGAAGACAGGTTCTTCTGCATGGTCCTTGAGCCTTTGGGCTGCAGCCTGTGTGGCCCTTGGGGCGTCTCTTGGGGACGCGTCTCTGCAGCACGTGCCGGGGGGCTCGTAGGTACGAGTCCATCAAGGCGAACGATTACAGAGGGCCTGGGAGCTCGGTATCACAAATCTGGCAGTATACAAACAAGGAGACGCTCGATGTCGAAACTCCAGAACGCGATGAGCATGTGTCTTCTCCAGGTTTTGGCTTCAGGACATTCAGATCATTGCAAAGCAGCTCTTGTATGCTCCTTCCACAGAGATGGCTTCCGTGTTGAGTGTAGGGTGGATGTAGGGTGGAGCCTTGGCGATTGGCGATCCAGGCCCTGAACTTCTTGCATACGAAGATGAGATATACCCACACGGACTTGAAGTCATGGTCTCAGCGTGTCCGTTTCTAGTCTTCTCGACACAGTAAGAGCTGAAGGCCAGAGAACATCATGTTGACCAGCATGGAGCCTGCAAGGACAGTGTCCACAGACCACACCTGTCCTTTGGGGAATGATGCTGTTCATGAAGCGTGCTTTGCTTCGAGTAGAGGCCGGAGTGGTTTCCAAGGGAGGAGTTCTGCGAGGTGCCGATGCACCCCTGTGCTGCATGGGCCAGAGTCCAGAGATTGCCAATGTTGTCAGGGCGACGGAGTGCTGCGCAAGAAGAAAAGGAGTAAACTAGCAGCAAGCAGCTGGCATTCCTGCTAGTCGCTGCCGCAACTTGGTGGCTGAGGTCGCCACCAGTACCTGCGACCACGTAGTGTTGGTGCCTGAGGGGAACCTGCACAAACAAGGGAAGGAAACGGAGCAAAAACACAGCTGGGATGCCTGCAGGCGGGCATCAAGATCATCGACTTTGGTACTGGGCTTGGGCTCGACAAGTGCCAGCTGCAAGCGCAGTCCTGCAGCCTGCAGGCAACACGATTCGGGAACATGATCGCCGCGAAACCATCATCAACACGCGGCAGCACCGGGCTGAGCGTCAGGTGGTGATATGCTCCTCTTCATGGCATTGTTGGCTGCCCTGGTCCATGTGGTCCACGACATCTCAGGTATCGGGGCCCTGAGGTGCCGGTTTTTGCAGGGGTGTTGACAGGGTTTGTGGCATCGAAGTGTTGGGGTGACATGCCGGCTTGTCGCAGTCTGCAGGTGATTTTGGAGCTTGGCTGGGATGAGAAGTCCGATCTTTGGCGAGGAGCTTGGCGGTTTTGAGCGCGCCTTCGCTTCGCCTGGGGCCCAGAGGCCCCGGCTTCTCTGGCGGCTCGCTTTAGTAGGAAGCTTTGGGCTTTGCCCCGGCCCCCGGGGCGTTGAAAAGCCATGGCGTGCTGCGAATGCTGGGAGGGTCTGACAGGCCAGAAGGTGGGGCGCTGCAATCTGCTACAGATCAGGAGATGTACGGACAAGCTGGTGGAAATGCCATGCGCACAGGAGTCTTTGCAACTCGTTCCTCGCAAGGCGCGGTAATCCGCACCCTACTCATTCTTGGACAGCACGTAGAACCCGCGTAAAGTGTCGTGAGGGTAAAATTTAGGGTTGCCTGCTGCTTGCATGTAGCCGTGCACCCTTCGCCTGCTATGCGAGAGAGGGAGCAATCGCCAGATGCTTGCCGAACCTCTAGCAGCACATCACGCTGTGATCCAGCAGTCGGATTGCCTTCCAATGCTTCCAAACTCTCGCAAACTCTCGATGGGCTTCTAGCCGGCCTTGTGGCGAATGCAAAGAGCGAGCGAGATGAAGAATGCTGAAAGCTGCAGGTCTAGGAGCAACTTTGACCACCTTTTTCCCACCTGCATTTGCCACAATGCATGGTTGACAAAACATGCACAAGGACTGTTGGGCCTCTTGTCCTCGGTAGATCACGCGGTGCCAGCAGTGCCAACCACTGCCAAGCAAGGAAGGACCTTCCGTGACGTTTCCACGACTCCTGTGTAGGTCCCAATATCGGCACTGATCCTCGGCACGGGGCCTCTTGGCTGTGGCTGGGCGGGCGACGTCTCAGAAGGGGAGGCGGAAGCGACCATCCTGCAGGACGGACCGGGCCGTGCATTCTCTTTTGTTCCTATGATGGAGCGTGCAACTGAAGGCCTTATCGCTGGGCATTCAATACGTGGACACGGCTCCGTGGCAACTTGGCGGACTTTCCGGGATGAGGGCCGGAGGATGAGGTTTGTATTGAGGATGATTTGCTTTGACCCCTGTTAGGCTGCACTCACTCATCCATGTGAGTGGTAAGTTCCGGTTTCGCCTTTAGCCATACTTCCATACTGCATACAGGGCAGTCGGAGGCTCAATCGGTTCAGTTCCCGCGAAATACCACGGGCTTGAATGTCATCTCGTCACCCTGTCGCCCTGAACACCAGGTATGGGGGCGGCCTGTCTGAGCAGCGAGTTGGCAAAGCCTTGGCTACGGCCCAGGATCGCTTCTTGCTTTTTCGCGTGTACACTCCAAACGCCGCTCTGCTGAGTTGCCGCACATGCGCAGAAGCATCTTCTGAAGGATAAAGTTGTCCTGTCGACAAAAGTCGGACGCTCTCCGGATGCAGTTGGGGCCTAAGCCGACCATTGGCTCTCTCATCAAGCAGTGGGCTCAGGATTCATCGTGGCCAAGCAGGAGTCTCCTGCATATGGACATCGTGTGGAGACTGGCTACGTACCTGAGCGGCAGCCGATTTTTTTACTGTCGGTTCGCTTTGTCTCCGACCGATGTTGGAACATACCAAGGACTTTCTGACTGATGGGTACCACCAAAACATCCCCGTTTGGGACTACCGCAAGGCCACGGCCTCGCGGATTTCTCAAACGAGCGTTACAGAAATTCGTGTTGCTTTAGGAGGGAATTGAAGAGAGCTTCCGACAATCGAGACAAAGGCTGGGGAGCACAGGCCTCAGCATGAACCTATAGACAAAAGGGTTCAAGACCAGACCGGAAGAATCAGGAAGCTTCATCGATTGCCTCCGGATACATGATGCCGAAGATTCTGAGAGATGGGAGGAAGCATGCAGCACAGGACTCAGCTAGAAAGTCCTTGCATCTCTCCATCCAGCTTTTCCCTCGCAACCTTGTCTTGGGGCCCAGGCCACGACGGTGCCGTGAACACTCTGGTTTCTTTGCGGAGTAGAGGTTATGAGCTGCAACAATCGCACTTGCGGCCGTGACTTGCCATGGGCAGGTGAGATTGGACAAGTCAGCTTAGGAGCCTCAGCGAAGTGTAGCAGTGGTTTCGAAGAGTCGCTGTAGCTTTCGATGGGCGTTGAGCTGTGGCAACGTTCCGTGGCAGGATTCAACAAGGCTGACTTCTTGATGTGTCTTGGCGAAGCATGAATGTGCGCAATGTCCATGCTTCGGAGTGTCTGCATGTGCTGTCGGATTCGCGGCAGTGCAAAGGAAGACCATCCTGAGATTTCCTGTTGGAACCTTTGCTTCTCGATTGCAGCTGCGACGCTAGTTTGCTCGTGGGCTCAATCGAAAGAGGGCGGGCCTGAGCTAGGAGCAGCTAGGGGAAGAGATAGAAAGAGTCGAAGGCCTTGCCGCGATGGATTCTACAGGATTTTCAGTATCGGGGGACGAGAGAATGGTGTGGCGTAGTGTTCCGCAGGGTGGACTCACAGCGAAGAAAGACAAGGAGACCATCCCCCCCCCACCAAGCCCATAAACAAGCTCCGAAAACAACGCTTTCCTCAGTGTATGCCCTGATCATGATCCAGCTCATGGTGTGATGAACTAGGTCGCCAGCCAGCCGATATTTTAAACATGTATAAATTGCCTGCACTCGATTTATCCTTCTTGTATCAGACATAGAAATGGTGTGATTGATTTGTGTGCATATGTCACAAGCCCAGACTCTTGCGTTTTTTGTGCATACATGCGTGCAAAGGGCTTCACTCACCCACAAGGACCCCCCCTCGTGGGGAAAGGAAGGGTAATTGGTATGACCTGGTATGACCCAAGACACAATCCTTTCGAACACATCGCAGCAACGGTGAGGCCGGGGATTTGGACCAGTGGCCAGACGCACTAGCACGAGCACTAGGACTAGCAGTAGCATGAGCTTTAGCACCAGCACTAGCACTGCGACTACCGCTATCTCCACCACCGCCACCACCACCACCACCACCACCACCACCATGCACCACCACCACCGCCGCCGCCGCCACCACCACCACCACCACTACCACCACCACCACCACCACCACCAAGCAAAATATCACCGAAAACATCCTTGCCTGCATCCCCAAGGGAGCTGAATGGAGCTGAGGACAACATCATGGTGGCACGGACCTGGAACCTTTTGGATCAGTCAGCTTATCCGCTCCTGCTTGAATGCGAAAAGCGGGGAGTCTTGTTCCGCGAGTAGTTTCCGGCAGAAAGGAGTGCGAGGACATGATCCAATGCTTGGTTGATGTGCATCCGAGGAATCAAAGTGCAGATGGCAGCAATATTTTGTGCAGGTTTGCTTTGGGGGCAAGATCTATATATGTACAGCAGCGCCTTGACTTGATCGCGATAAGACGCTCTTCTACTGGCTTCGCAGCAAGTTTGGATTCTTTGCGATTGACAAAGCATATCTGAGGCGATGTGCCCCGCGAAGCTGCAGAGAAGGTGTTGAGCTTGTCTAATATTCTCTAATTTCACACAGAAATCCAGAGCGTTCTGTACACCCCGTGTCCGCCGCGTGTTACAGGTCAAGCGATGGGGCGAGCTTGCCAAGTCGTTTAGCTTGAGCTTGCCAGCCGTGGCACTCGCCTTTGCCTACCTACCTGCATGCGTAGACAGGCGCAGTTGCAGAAGAGCCGTTGCTCTCTTACCGGTGTGCATCATGCAGCAGGATCGCCATCGGCTGTGCCTCCGCAGAACAGGTTTGCAGCAATGTGCAGCTACTCGGTATGTACTTTCGATGCTGTGTGTTCTCATGTTCCAGAGGCTTTGTTGCTAATCATGTTGCCGTACATGTCGCTCGTCTTGCCTAGAGTTGAGCAAGCGTTCAACTGGTTCCCTTTCATTTTGCCAGAGGCTCTGCAACGCTGATGTTCCTCGTGAGCTCTGGCAGAGGGCGAAAGCCGAGAGACTGTTGCCAAGTTTCCTGAGATTTTGAGTCACGAAGCCTTGTGACACAAAGCCTGCTGTCATAGCTGCATCAAAGATGTGGCGACTAATCCTGAACAAGCCAGGTAGTCTTGTCCACGGCAACACACCCAAAATCATCGCATTGGAGTGTTTGAAGCGCTATGCACAGCACGGGCCTTTCAAGTTTGTCTGCTGGTCACTGTCAGTCAGTTGACGCAAGCACTCTTTGGCGAAATCTCTGCGGATGCCTTTGCCTCTTGAGTCGAAGCAGCTTCAGGGCTTTCTTTGATTGGCAGAGTGCCGCTCGTGAAGGTCAGCTGGCTGCATCCTCATGGAGCTGTGCTCCGCAGATGGGTCGACAAGTCTTTCTTTTTTGAGTTGAGACAGACAGTGTGACAGACCGATAAAGAGAGGTACACTGGTGAGATGCTCTTTGGTACGCATGAGAACATGGAACACCTGGCTCTTGTGGAGGAGATCCTTGCTCCGCTGTACCGATCTCGGCAAGCATTGAAACCGACTTAGTCGCAGGTGCTACCAGTACTAGGTTTTTTTTGCAACTTGGAGCGGTTTGCGGCAGCAGCTGTCGAAGTTCAAGCTATCCGTGCCATCCTTACACCCGCCTTAGTCTCCGGGTCGAGGAGATGTTGAGGGCTCTTCTTTGCACTGCGCTCCTGGTCCAGACCCGCAGCTGGGAGTGTCCGGCCGGCTTCGCCGGCCCGGAGAAGTGCCTCGGCAAGGAGAACGCTGGCAAGTGTGAGCTGCAGAAGCCCAGCAAGGTGGACATCGACACAAACAATGCCCTGTCGTGCGGAAATCCCAATGCGAAGTTGGCGGAGTTTGAGACTGACTTGGGCGGCGGCAGCTACTACAAGGGGTGTGGCTTGAACCAAGATGGTTTGGTAGACAGCTGCTGCAACTGCTGGCCGCTAAAGGAAGCTGCGGGCAATGAGGCCTCTGACAACAAGGGCCAATGCTTTCCATGTCACAACTCCTGCTGCAAATGGTGGTGGTTGTGCATTTTCGAGCGTTGCCTCTACGAAGGTGAAGATTGTTCCCATCAGCAATGCTGAAGACCGACTATCAGCGACTTTGAAGCCCTGATCCCTGACCTGCATGCATATCGACTCGTGCTCGAAGCTTCTGCGAGCTCCACCTGGTGTGGTGGCACCATTCTTAGAAGTGCACTTGTGTGAGACACGGGCGTTGTGGACGTTGTGGTTTCATCTGCGGGGGTCCCATGCCCACTTGGGTGGAGGATTCATGCTACAGCCAGAGACAGCAGACACGTGCGCACGGCTGGGGCCCCACTTAATTCGAGCCAACAAAAAGGCCTTGCGATGCTGCAGCTGCAGAAAGAGCAGAGTCTCTTGTGCTTCGATTCTTCGGCTGATCATAGTCTGGAGAATCGGGCTTGACTGGACTTGAGTGGACTTGACTTGATGCTGAGAAGCGAAAGAAAAAGAGTGCCGATGTCAGAGGTGCTCTGCATGCCAGATTAAGATTCGGAAGCAGCCGTGTTAAGCCATCAGTCTGCAGCTCTGGTTGAGAGCTTTTTGGATCCGACGGGTCGTGGGAAGCTTGCCGACTCAAGCCGCACTGCGCAGCTCAGGCCTTCGACGATGATCCGGCGTCAGACTCTCAGTGACTCTCTTGGCCGGATGCCCACAGCCCCGTAGGTCACAACTTAATTAGACAATGGACAATGTTTCGGTTGCGAGAGGGAGTTGAACCCACGTCGCTCAATCTTTCGCGCATTGTTTCAACCAAATCCATACCTATCAAAGCCAGAACTACGTGTTCAGTTTTTTAAGCTCTGAACGCTGTACAAAGGACACCGGGCTGGAAGTTTGACTGTCGCGGCGGATCTGCGTCCAAGCCGAGGTGCGATGCAACATGCCAACAAGATACCGATGTTCAAGAAGCTCCGCGCCTCGGCCTGCTTTGCACAGGATCCAGCCATGTGTAGAATGTATTGGCATGACAGTATAGCATGCAATGGAAGATACTTTGCGAACAATCCTGGGGAAGTTCAGGTGATATGGATCTTTGTTTTGTCGGTCTTTTCGAAGTTGTAGCACAGGCAGCAGTTCCGAATGGCTTTGACATCGGCTGCATGCGGCCAACAACCTGCACATATTTTGTTAGTATTCGTGCTCTTCTTATTATTGCACTCAGCACCCTGTACATGCCAGCCATAACAGGTGTGACTAGCACGGGGCTGGGCGAGTGGGTCATCACCCGGTTTTGGAGCCCTAGCCATCTAGAGAATCGTGAATGTCACTTCTTCCGGAACTTTGCAAATTCACCGCTGCCCGGCTACATCGAGGTGACGCGCTCTCTAAAGCCAAATACTGTGCGAGCGATTTATGTTCACAGCGGTGGGACCTCACCATGCCGAGTTCCGTTGCTCCATCATCAGATGCTGCACAGCTTTGCATGCACATCTCTGGCCAGCACTGGGGCACCATGTACAGATGCACTCGGAAGCAGATGACACGTTCTGCGCAAGCCGTGAGACCACACGAAGCCCATGTTGGAAGACCCTGACCCACTCGAAGAGTGCAAAAGCTTACACAAGCAAAACACTGAAAAACGAATGCAGTGGACGGCTTGTGGTGCACTCGTTGCTGCATGCTTCGATGGAGGTCTTTGCAGGCCCCTGCCGCTGCTCCCGTCTCTTGAGAGCCTAGGTACCTCAGACGAGAAGAGACAGGGCCTCAGATTTGGCCTGCAAGGCTCAGCCACATGCATGGCATAAGCAAAGGTCGATGGGCATTGAATTGGCCCGTTCGCGTCTCAGAGGTGTCAGAGTTGGGTGCCGGGCCTTCTGAAGTGAGAGCTGCGGCCTTGCGCGGGGCATTGTGCCGCTCCCCATTCTGCGTGCTTTCAACTCAACAGCTCCTCAACAGCTCGAGCCACATGGCGTAATTAGATTGTGTGAAAGGAGGGGTGTGAGAAGCTGCTAGTTCGTAGCTTGTTGACCCGGTTCTGACTAATTACCGTTTACATCCACACATGATGGTGACGTTTTAGATGTGACTGCCCTCGTGGTCGCAGGCTAGGGCTGGTCATGGCTGGTCGTGCAACGGTAGGACTTCGCGCGCCGGCATGTTACCTGCTCGCTCCACAACTGCATCGGCGTGCTGCTGGTTTTGCCTCCGGAGCACGCCCAGGCTTGACTGAGCAGGGACAGAGGTACTTCACCAAGACTCATGAGTGGTTCCAGGTGGAGGAGGAAGGCGTGGGAACTGTTGGCATTACACAGGTGGCGCAACGAGCACTGGGTGAAGTCCTGTATTGCAAGCTTCCGCAGGAGGGTGCCAGATTCAAGGTCATGGAGACGCTTGCAACTTTAGAGGCTCTGAAGTCTGTTGGCGAGGTCCACAGCCCTATCCGAGGGGAAGTCATTGAGGTAAATTCGCGCCTGGAGCGCGAGCCTGCTCTGGTCACATATGCTCCTTTGACAGACGGATGGCTCGTTCGCATGGCTTTTGATGGCCAAATTCCGAGATATCTCAGGAGAAGCAGTGCCATCCCACGCTCACAGGTAGAACCCCTGCTTGCTGACATTCCAGGACTCGTTCGCTATCTTGAAGAGCGGCTTCTCAGCAGTCCAGGAGACAGTGACGCGCTGCAGGAGCTTACTTTTGATGGACTGCGTACCATAGAGCGCTGGTACATTCACAAAGCTGCCAGCGAGTTGAACTTGTACACAGCATCGCACGGCACGGGTGCCGGCAGGCAGCTTGTGGTGCGCAGAGCGCCCCGCACACGGAACCAACCAGGGCCGGATGCTGACGAGGATTCAGATGACGAAGAAGAGGATGAGGAAGAGGAGGCGATTCCTCAGCGAGAACGACCACGCCTGGAAAGGCGAAGGAAGAGAGCGCCCGTACGTGTGCTCTACAAGTGAGTGCACTTCTTGTGAAAAAAGGTGCGTAATAATGTGCATGTGCTTCTGGGTGGCTTCCTGCAGAGAGTTTTCTCCCTACTCCCAGCATGCTCTTTGGAGGCCGGAGCATCATCTGACGCTTCCATTCAGAAGGTGGCCAGTGCGAAGCCTGAGATGTGTTCGTATTGTTCTGCACGCAAAGATGAAGGACGCCTGTCGCTTGTATCCGTTCTGTTTTGTCACGATCAGGATGTCTCTTTCGGTGTTGAACCTGGCAGACATTAAGCAAGTCAAAGAAAAGCCTAGTGTGACTACCATCATGTTAGAACACCTAGTTGGTCTAGGCTGTTTTGGTTCAGAGGTTGCAATCTCCGCCTTGGCGCCATGTAGCGCATGAAGAGCGTTGACACTCCGATTATCGAGACCACCTTCACCCCTGCGGAGAAGGACAAGCATGCTGATGGCACGAAGACCATCCATGGCCCCTCGTCCAAGATTGTAGCAGACTGAACATGCCGGGTGCACAGCCACGCCTTTCTTGTCGGAGGTCTTGCATGTATCTTTTTGCCTGGTCAGCATACCTTGATTCTGCTGCAGGCTTCTTCATAACGAGGACAGTTCTTGGCCAGGGGTCCTTTGCAAAAGTGAAGCTGTGCATGGAGCAGCTGACCGGCACGGAGTTTGCCATCAAGGCCGGCTGTCAAGTTTGCCGGGCTCCAATCTCATGTGCGGGTCTGGCACAGGTTTTTCGGAAACTGCCTTTGCGCCGAAAGCGAGAATTTACTCGCTCCGACGATGGTGAGGGCATGAAAGTCCGCACCGTGTTGGACAAGGTTTACGACGAGATTGCCTTGCTGCTTGCTTGACTGCCCCAGACAAGCTCATACTGTATCTCCCACAATTTATGCTTCGTGCCGGTTGCCAGGTCAAGTCTGAGGTCAGGTGTCCGGGTCAGGGCTCTGTGAAGGTTTCCGCCCTCCCTCTCTCTCTCTCTCTCTCTCTCTCTCTCTCGCTGCCTCTCTCTCTCTCTCTCTCTCTCTCTCTCTCTC